TAAACAGCAGTTCACCTGCATCTAGCTAAAGCTATGATATAATATTAAGATTATCTACTTTTCTTGCCCTTTTTAAGTAAGTTTTTAGGTGAAAAATCTCTAAAAATTCTTATCTATTTTTGTTTTGAAACTTCTGAGAAAACTGCTAAAATATCAGAAGTAGGTAGAAAATCTGACAGTCTATGAAGATCAGATTAGAATATGATGACTCTAACTGAGAAGAATATGAGGTCAAAGAATCTAATATTCAAAAAACAATTCTTTGAGACAATTGAAGAAGACTCAAAGTGAATATATTAAGAAATTACTAGCCTTATAGATGAGATAAGAGATATTTTAATAAGAGTTAAAGCAGAACGAGATGAGTAGAAAAAGTAAGTAAATAGCATAATAGAAAAATAAAATATTTTACAGTAGAAAGTGAACTCTTTAGTCTCTCAAATCAGACTGATGAATAATCAATAGACATAATGATCAGCTAAACTTGATGACTCTAAGCACCTCATTAATGAAAAAGTACTGATATTTAAAAACTAACTTTTCTAAATGAAATGCAAACTAGCTATCAATATTAACCACTTTTCGACTGAAGAAAGCTATATTATCTATATTAAAAACTGAACTAATGGTGAAGCTATCAGATACTTAGTCTCAAGAATGAAGAAAAATCATTTTAAGAAGTTTGAAATAGCTGAGAAAGTGTTTAAGTATTTACAAAAAATATATGACAATATCAATAAGCTTGAGAATACAAAAACAGAATACTGATATCTAATAATGAGAAATAAAGATAACTACTATGCATTTATAATCAAATTCTTGTACTTGGCTAGTGAAGCTCAGGTTCATAAGAAATATTATAAAGCAGACTTTTTTCATAAGATTTTCTTTAATTTTCAACTTATAATATAGTAGCTTGCATCAATTGCAGCATCTTTCAAGAGGTTTAAAATATCTGCACCCAGGCTGTGTAAAGGGTTAAGCTCTAAAAACTAGAGACTAGTCCTCCTATATAACAAAAACAAATTGTTTGAGAAAGGGAAGAAAAAAATGAGATGAGAACTTGAGCTTAAGCAAGCTCACATAGTGTGATCATGTGTGCATGTGCAAATGATGGCTAGGCTGAGTCAGCCAGCCAGAGCAAATCTAGAGGTTCAATCTCTTATAATACTTCTCTTCTCCCTCTTTGTTGCAGGCTTTTACAACTATTTAAAGCTCTCTTTACACCTAATTTTGCCTGCTGAGAGGCCTCTCAAGTGTTCAAGGCCTTCACTTCTTGTAAGAGACTCACATCATTTCATGTAAGCTCAGTTCAACCTACTTATTTAACAAGGTATTGCTTTTTCCTCTGATAGATTTGTTTGCTCTGAATTTTCTCAATCTCAAACTCAGGTCCTTCTGAAGTCTCTATAATGAGTGACTGTTAGTCAGTTTACCTCTGACTAGACAGGAAATCTATCATCACAGCATGTAGAAGCTTTACATTAAAGACATTATGAATGCTGAGTGAAATATTCAGTTAGTAAGTATAAGATTCTATCTTTTCTAGCACAGTATATTGATTGTATTTCATATTCAGCTTCTTGCACAGGTGATTAGTTCTCATGTTCTCTAAGCTCAATCAAATCTTATCTTTAGGTTGAAAGCTTGAAGCTGGGTCTCTTCATCTATTCATGTATTTCTCTTGAGATTACTGAGCATTCATCATTTTTACTTGAGCTCACTTCAATACTTCATGAGTCTTTCTCATATAATCATCTGCAAACTCAATGGAATTATGTGGTGTTTCAATGAGAAATGCATTAGCTATATCAATGAAGGAGATATGGAAAAGATGCATTAAAAAGAATAAGCTCACACTCATTGAGGCAGCATCTCTATTATTGATGGTCAGCTCTGCTAGAGGGAGCTATTTACACTAGTCATTTTGTTGAAAGCTAATGTACTTGCATAGGTAGATTTTCAGAATCTGATTCATTCACTCTGTAGCTCTGTCAGTCTCTGAATGATAGACTATGAAGAATCATCTCTTAATGTCTAATTTTTTACACATCTGAGTTCAAAACATGCTTGTGAAAGCTGACCCTTAATCTGACACTATCATCATAGAAATGTTATTTGAGAAATGATGTTATGAAGGAACACTCTAGTCACTGTCTTCATATCAATTTTCTTAACTGCTTTTAATATAACTCTCTTGATCAGTCTGTCTGTTATAATCATAATGTTTGTGTATTCTTTAGAGCTCAGTAAGTTCATGATAAAGTTCATGAAAAGCTTCTGTCACATATGTTCAGGAATGAGAAGAGGCTTAAGCAGTCCCTGATATTAATCTCTCTATATGATGTTTGATCTGCAAAGATGACAGTTTCTAATCATTCTTCTCACATTGATGACATAGCCTGGCCAGTAGAACTCATGTCTTAGAACTTCTGCTGTTTGCTCTCATCTGAAATGACTGATAAGAGATGAGTCATGAGCCTCATACACTAACCTGGTTTGAAGAAGTTTGAAGTCTGACACTCATTTACAATCTTGAAAGAGAAGCTCTCTGTTCTCATTTAAAGAGCACTCAGAGATGAAGATATTAATATCAAGTTCAGAAGAAAATCTGAATCTTCTCTCACAAAGAGTTTACTCTAGACACTGCAGGATCTTATCATTTTTGTAAGTCTCATTTCACTGAGCTTGAAGAAACATCTCAGATTCCACACTGGCAGTGACCACTATTGATTTCATTCCAGGTGCCAGTACATTAAACTTAAGTAGTTGAGCTTGTCTCTGCTTGATTCTCTCATCATCAGTACTCTGTGACATGTTCTGCTCTCATCACAATAGAGTGTCTGGTTCAGTGTTCAACTTCTCTAACCAGTAATCAATTCTGAAGTTGAATCAATAGAGAATATTCATTAAATGTAGCTGTCTTTCATTTAGTCTGCATGTAGTCATGAAGTATTCTAGATTCTTATGATCTGTAAGAATTTTGAATTTCTTTATACTTTATAGCTCAGTATCTCACTTCTTTAAACACTCAATTATCACTAATAACTCTTTATCATGAATCTCATAGTTGCATTCCGCAGGTGAATACTTGCAAGAAAAGAAGACACATGAGTATAGAATGCTCTGCTCATCATATTGTAGCAGCACTTCTTCTGAGATGTAATCTGAGAAGTTCATTTCTAATATAGTCTCACAGTCAGAGTCAAATTGAAGCAGAATTGAAGTAGAGATAAACATTGATTTTAGATGTTTAAAAGCTTTTTCATCCTTGCTCATTCACAAAAAAGAAATATTCTTGCATGTAAGAATTATCAGTGAGATTGCAATCTTTAAAAAATCTCTAATAAATCATCTATAGAAATTGGCAAAGTCTAACAATCCTCATACATCTTTAAGAGTAGTAGGTGTCACTTATTTCAAAACAGCTTTAACCTTCTCTGGATCTATTTGTATACCCTTGCTCACTTCAATGATGAATTCAAGATATTTTGTGCTGTTCATCTTGAACTCACTCTTTCTGATGTCTGCCTGCATGTCTGCTTCTCATAAATACATAAGTATCTTTTGTACATGTTTGCAATGCTCTCATAAGCTTCTTGAGAAAAATATCAAGATGTCATCTAAATAGACTAAGCAGAAGTTGTCCAGATATTCATGTAATGCTCAGTTAATATATTTTTGAAATGTGCTCAGAGCATTAGCCAAATCAAAGAATGTAATCAGCCACTCAAATAGCTTGTATTTGATTCTAAAAGCTATCATCCACTCATCATCTTTTGTGATTTGAATCTTGTGAAAAGCTGCAATAATGTCCAGCTTAGTGAATCATTTAGTCTGTCCAATTCACTGTAGAGTCTCACTGATTAATGATAGTGAATATTGATTCTTTCAGATGATTTTGTTAAGAGTTTGATAGTTCACACAGAATCTTAGTCCACTCTCAGACTTCTTTACAAATAGTATGAAAATAGCTGCAGGAGAGTTGCTCACTTTAATAAAACTCTTATCTAGATAATCTGTAAGAGTCTTTCACAAAGTCAGTAGTTCTTCTCAAGACATATTATATAATGAGTCTCAAGGGGGTTGTTTCATGCTATCATCAGCCTTTTTAATCAGTTTGATCTTATGATCTCTACCTGGTCCATGAAGTGAGGGTAGAGTGTCAGCAGCTTCCTTATCAAATATGTCTAAAAACTCATAATAATGTTCAGACAGCTTTTCTCTAAAGTCAATCTTTGATTTTACTTCTAGAGCCTTTTGAATGTCAGTCAAACTGATGATGAAAATCTTGATGTTTCACTTCACTTGAGTGCTCACAAGTCTAGAGAAGCTTACAGCAGAGATGGGAATCACATCAGCTTTTGCATTTGAACTAGACTCTACCTCTATGCCACTCTCTTCAAATCTCATAATTCTTTGATAAAGGATCACAGTCATCTTTTGCTGAGCTAGTCAGAGGTCACCTAGATACATATCATGACCATGTAATCCATTCACCACATAGAGAAAAGCCTGTTCAGTTACATGATCATCTATATCAATTTGAATGCCAGTCACTATGCTCATAGAGAGTCTCATGGAGTCTTCAAAGCCAGTCATTTTAACAGAGAGAATTTCAATGCATAGAAGCTTATGCTTGCTAATGTAAAATTGAGAAATAAGATCATAGACATTACATTCACTGTCTATCATTGCTTTAGTTAAAAAGGCATTATCTACTAGAGCATTGACAGTGAAGGGTTTGAATATCATCTTAGATTTAAATTTTCTTCATTGCTTTCTCATAAGCTTCTTTTTTCACTTCTTCCAGTGTCTTTTGATTGAAGCTACTCTTTTCTCAAATCCTCACTCATATCCATATCATTGTAATCCAGTACCAGCTTGAGGATCATCTTAGCTATTGTGAGGGTGGCAAAGCATCTGAGAGATTTGAATGAGCAGCTCTTAATCATATGACCTTTAGCTCTGCATCTCAGGCACAGGCCTTGCTCTCTTCATCAATTAATCTCTGTCTGATTTATCAATTTGATATGGCAGGTACTTAAGGTCACAGCATCAGGAGAGAGATCTATCAGGTCATCAGCAGAAGCTTGAGACTGATTTTGTTGATCAAGAACAGCATGACAAAGTAGAGAGTGTGGATTAGATGTCATATAATCTGAAGAAGATCTGTTCTTGTGATGTTTAGACCACTGTCTTAATGTATTAAGCTCAGAGAGTTGATGATCAACTAATCTAAGTTCCTTGTAGTAATTCTCATAAAGAGATGATTTCCTTACACTCATCATGCCTTCCCTCAGCTTCATGCTTAGAGTAGATTTCAAATACTTCTTTTTAACATGATCATCTCATCTGTGATCACTAGCTTTCAGCAGTAGCTGATTAAATTCAGACAGAAAGTCAAAGAGAGCTCTTCTACTCTGTCATAGATTATTGAGCTTTTGCATAGCCTTTTCCTGTCATGCAGTATCACTAAAGAGCATGCATGTCTGCTCCAGTAAGCTCTCTACTATGAAGTTGATCTTGTTCTTATTATTCTCAACTCAGAGATAAACTTGAGCTGCTGTCATTTCTTTCAGTCTCAAGTACACATATCAAGCATATTCCTCATTATTATCTAAAGCTTTCTCATTGATCTTAAGTTTTGATTGAAGCTTTAGCTCTCACTGAGAGTAGTGCTTCAGATTAGAATCATTATACTTCTCACAGTCCAGTAGCTTGATCTTTGGTCTTCTGACTGCAATGAGTGGTTATGAGTTCAATTGAAAGAGGGTTGATGTTGAGATGTTCAAAGCTTGTTGTAGATTAGCTATTTCAGCTTGCTGAGCTGCTATTAAATCTCTGTTCTCACACTGAACCTGTTCCTGCTGTTGGAGAAAGACCATTCATTGTTGTTCAAAGCTGCTGGGGGTGTCCCTGCTCATTGCTTCATATTAATCTATTTGTGTATTTGTTGTACAAGTTTGCTGCTTTATCTCATTTGACTAGATGTTTTCAATGTTGTTTGTTCATTTGTTAGCACAATTGCTAACCCAGTCTATTCATATATCAGTACTATCACTGAACTTTGTGATGTAGAATTTAAGGCTCTCAATAGTTTATCATATGTCAGCATGTTTGCTGAGCTTTGTGATACAGGATTAAGACTCTCAGTGGCCTATCAATGAAAGGAGTGAAGCAATTTGTAATGTAAAGGGTTAAGCTCTAAGAACTAGAGGCTAGTCCTCCTATATAACAAGGATGAATTGCTGGAGAAAGGGAAGAAAAGAATGAGATGAGAACTTGAGCTTAAGCAAGCTCACATAGCATGATCATGTGCACATGTGCAAACAATGGCTAGGCTGAGTCAGCCAGCCAGAGCATATCTAGGGGTTCAACCCCTTATAAAATCCTATATTTAAATATATTATTTGATACTAAGATATTATTTTTGATGAGAATTTTCTATATGATTTATATAAGTCAAATATTAAAGATCACTATATGAGAACATTATACAAACTACTGATTTACTTAATCATTCAGTTTATAAATCAATAATTACTAATGAATTTTTATCTGATAGTATTGCTGTGAATATAACAGATGATAATATACTCTTTAATATTGAAGTTGTAATTATTAACTTTTATTCTAATACAGTAGTTATCTGAAGTTCAATTTCTGAATTTATTAATATTGCTGATATTGATATTTTTTAATTAGATATTTTTCTGATAGTATTAGCAATAATAGATCACTTTGAGTTAATAAAAAGACTTGAATCAATAATATCAAAATATACTTCATAGTTTAAAGAAAAGATCTCTCTGAGTTAATTAAAACTTTTTTCATTAGAAGTTGTAAAATAGCTTACCACTGAACTTCAATAATCAATATGAATAAATAAGTCAGAGACTTCAATATTATCTGTATTGCATATACTAATCACTGACATGATGTTAGATATTGTTAGACTCAGCGCCGGAGCTAGGTTTATCTCCATCACGTGACCACAACCCACATGTAATCTAGTGGATCAGTTGTGATCCAGTCACATGATCATGTGAGCTGTTTATATTTTGCGCAGACTCTGACATCTCTTTTTCCTCATCAATCTTAGAATTTTGTTACATAGCAGTTAGCAATGCAGAGAGTTTCCTTCTTATGCAGCTCACATTTACTTTCTAACATAATTTTAAGGTTTTCTTCTACTTTTTCACTTAGGTTTCAGTGGAAAACTTGAGTATCTCAGTTGAATTAGAATCTGCTAGTTGAGAGCCTGACAACATATCAGGTTAACTGTTGAAAGCAATAGCACTGTCAAAGACAACAGTTCAATCTGACATCAGATGGCCACTGCAGGCTCTCAACCCCTTGAAAGAAATCAAAAAAACTGATAATACATTCTAATAATATCAACTGATCAATTATATATCTCAATTGAGAAATTCAGAAAGGTAATTCACTCAGATAGTGATCATATTTATAATGAGTTAGTGATGATCTTTGATGATATCTTTGAAAATGAAAAAATATTGAGGAATACAATCACACATCTAAAAATGAAATAAAATAATGCTACTAATCAAGCTGCTGTCAAGCAAAGTCAGATTGATGAGTTAATTGTTGAATGCAATGAACATAATCATACTCTGATTTGCATGATAGTCAGCAATCAAACAGCAAGTCAAGATGTCATCTCCTCTGAGACTGTCAGAAAGTCTGTCAAGATTGATGACTCAAAACATCTTACTAACAGTAAAAGATTGAAATTTGAATACTGACTTTTCTGAATGAATAACAAGCTCTAGAAGAATACTGATTATTACTCTACTGAATGCATGAAAATTACATATATTAAAAACTAAACTGATGGAGATGCAGTATGTCACATTACATTTCATATGAAAGAGAATCACTCTGAGTGATATCAAACTATGAAAGAAATATTTGAGCATTTCAAGTCAATATATGAGAATGCTAACAAGCTGCAAAATATTAAGAATGATTATCATAAGCTGAATATACACAATGAGGATAATTATCATAAATTTGTAACAAAATTCTTACATATAGTAAGTGAGGTCAAAATTGTCAAGAGGAACTATAAGACAGACTTCAATGATAAGTTGTTCTTTGATCTTCAAAGAATGATAGCAGTAGTCAATGCAATCACAAACACATATGCTGAGTTTCAGAAGATCTGTGCTCAGACAGCTTACACTCTTCAGACAATCAATGTCACTTAGAAATCAAAGAGCTTATGAGAAAATGAATCTAATACTCTCAGACAAAACATCTTATAGACTTTCAATAGTCAAACTTCTTCTAATATCTCTGCTACAAAATTTTCTATTATGAAGAAAACTGTAAGCATCTGTCTAGACATTCAGTACTACTACTGCAAAGAGAAAGATCACATTGCAAGAAACTGTCTCATGAAACAGAAGTCTCAATAAATGATCACTGAGCTTATAGAAAATGACACTTCTGAGTCTTTAGCAAATTTAAGAAAAGAGTAAGTTTGAGAGAAGACTTCATCTTAGGTAGTTCAATAGTCTGTGAGAAGTTTGATATAAAGAACTTGATTAAGAGAAAAAGCTTTAGTGTATTAATCAAGTTAGTCTATAATAAAATTGCTATTTCTACAAATTCTCTAGCTGATATTGAAGTGAATGATATAAATTTTATTGATATCTGATATGTCATAGAATTAGTGAGATTCTTTAATAGAAAGTTTCAAAAACTCCTGTTTAAATGCCATATGAACGGATCTAATAGTGCCTCTGATGAAATGATAGACTGCACATTGACTCTAAATCTTTGAATAAATAACTAAAGATTTCAGAATGTTCCTCTGCTAGTAATAAATCTATATCAGCACTCTGTCATCCTGGAATGAAAGTGGTTGATAGTATAGAATGTATGATTTGATGTTAAAAATCAACATTTGATTTGGCTGAGTGAATAATCTATCTCTGAATAGATGATAGAGCTGATGTTGAAGATAGTACTTTAGTTAATACTGAAGTACCTAGACTCTAAGTCTGAGCATCAGATAAATGTGGAATGAAAAAAGATCAAACTGAACAAGAAGATCAGATAGAAGCATTGGACATGACTCTGTAGATTGAAAGGAATCAGCTCAGTCATAATGTCTAAAATAAAATAGAGATTGACCTGAGAGAAAACAGTATCACAAATAATGAATAGAAACTTTATTGAGACTACTTTCTTTCATGATTATATAAAGAACAAGAACTTGACAGTCTTCATAATCAGTCTATATGAAATTGATAAACAGCTTAAGAAGAAGTGAAGTTTAGTGAAAGCTGAGAATGAGTCTGATAAGAAGCTGATCTGCAACTTACCAAAATGATTAAAAGGCCAAGAGAACTGATTCTCAAAGAAAGTGTCAGATGAATTACTCTCTCTATGAAACAACATTGATTTTAAAATAGAGCTTCAGCTTAACATTGATCTCATTTGAGGCATTAAATATGTACCTCTATATAAGATAAATCTAGAGAAACTAGAGATGATAAAGATATATTTTAAAGTTAAACTAGTAAAGAACTTCATTATTTCAAGTTCAGTCTCTTACATCTTCTCAATTTTGATTATCTGTAATGGAAAGAAGTTATGATTTTATATTGATTTTTACAAGCTGAATGCTATAATCAAATGAGATCAGTATTCCTTGCATTTAATAGATGAGCTGATGAATTAACTCAATAAAGCAAAGTACTTTACAAAGCTAGACATTCAGCAGAGGTTTTATTGCATCTGAATAAACTCTGAGTCTGAGAATCTGACTATTTTTAGAACTTGCTATAGAATTTATAAATATCAGATGATCTTCTTTGATTTTATAAATACTTCTGCCTGCTTTTAATAGTTTATTAACAGTATCTTATTTGATTACCTGAACAAGTTTATGATAGCATTCATGAATGATCTTCTAATCTATAGTAAGAATTTGAAAACGTACAAATAGCAGATAAATTTAATACTAGATCAACTAAAGGCAGCTGATTTGCAAGCCAGTATTCAGAAATGTGAGTTCACAGTTCAGAAAACAAAATATCTAGAATTTATCATCAGCACAGAAGAAATTAAGATAGATTCAGAGAAGACAGCTGTTATTGTGAGATAACAGACCCTTATCACAGTTAAAGAAGTTTAGTTATTTCTAGTATTTAATAATTTCTATCAACAATTCATAAAAAAATACATTTAAATCACAAAATCACTATATCAGTTGATGAAGAAGACTATCTTATTTATGTGAATATCAGAATACAAATCAGTTTTTGAAAAACTAAAGAGACAGCTGATGAAGACTTCAACACTGCATTACTATGATTCTGAGCAGAAGACTTGTATTGCGACTGATGTATTTAACAGAATAGTGACTGAGATACTAAATCAAAGATTTGAAAATAATCTTTGATACTCAGTAGTCTTCTATTCAAAGTCAATAAATGATGCAGAGCTTAATTATAAAGTTTATGATAAGAAAATGTTAGCATTAATCTGAGTCTTACAAGAATGACAGATAGAGCTTGAGAGACTATAATAAGAGAAATAATTTAAAATTCTCACTGATCATTATACACTGAAATATTTCATGACTATCAAGAAGCTGAATGTATATCAAGCTCACTGAGCAGAATTTCTTTTTTATTTCTACTTTGAGATCAAGTATTGATCAGGTAAAGTCAATCTGCTAGCAAATACACTGAGCAGACCTGAGCAGATTAGAAGACAATAGAATAGCTATATGCAGATTCTTCTAGAATTAGAGATTCTCAACTCTCAGATCACTCTCTCTATAAATATTACTAGTATTAACTTCTCAGAAGAAGAGAACATTGCTAAATACATAGTGTTTTTAAAAAAGATAGTCATCTCAATTAAGCTATTGCAGCAGCAGGTAGATGATAAAAATAATCTCTATATAATGAAAGACTAATAATGTCTATTCAAAAAAAGAAAACTCTAATAGCTAAGCTACTGAAAAAAATTTATGATTAAGCTTTAATATTACATTTTGAAGAATAAAAGACTCTGACTCTGATGCAATTATATTATTGATAAGTCATCTGATAAATAGATATTCTATATTACATTCACAACTATCATATATACTGAATCAGTAAAATTCTAAGAGATAAGACTTTTGATTTGCTAAAGTCATTATCAATATCAGAATAAACATGATAGTATATCATAATGAACTTCATAAATGTGTCAAAAAATAAAATAGATTATGATGTCATTTTAATTATAGTATGCTGACTAAGTAAGAAGATAATTTTCATTTCAATCATCTGAGAAGTTATAGCTCAGGAGCTGATCTGACTATTCATTCAATTCTACTATTCATATAATGAAGCATTTGACTCAATTATCTTTGACTGAGGCCTTCAGTTTATATCAAGCTTTTGAGATAAGTTTATATAGATCCTGAGTATAAAACTGAAACTCTCAATAGCATATTATATACAAACTGATAAACAGATAAAAGTAGCAAATCAATATATTATCATTTATCTACATCTCTACATCAGTTACTATAAAACAACTGAGATGAGTGACTGCTTATTATAAATCACACTTCTGCAGCTATCTTAAATACTTTTACAGGAATCTTTTTCTTTCTTATAGCAAATGAATATGAACTCTGAATGTCATTTAACTAACAATCACTGATGAAGAAATTGAATATAAATGAGAAAAGAAATTGAGAAGCAGCAAGAAACTTCATTCATCAAATAAGAGAAATCTGAAATCAGACAAGTAAAGACATAAAAACAGCACAGAAACAGATGAAGAGACAGACTGATAAGTATTATTAAGAGTCTGACTTTATAGTAGAAGATTTTATTTATCTAATATTGAAATCATATAAAATGAATTGATCAAGCTGTAAACTAACAGAGCAGAATGCCAGCCTCTTCAGAATTCTGAAAAAGATGAATAATGTCTACAAACTGAACCTTTCTGCAATAATAAAATTTTATTCAATCATCTTTTCAGATAAGCTATATAAAGACTTTAAAGATCTTATATTTGATCAGACTGTCAGATCACCAGACTCAATTGAAATAGATGATGAGAATGAATGAGAAATAAATCATATACTGACCAGTCAAATAAACTAAAGCAAGCTACAGTATCAGATGTATTAAGAAAGATTTGATAAAATTTTTCATAATATTTCACTTATAACTTCAAAAAATCATTATATATAATACAGGATTTCTATGAAGCCAACTCTACTAAAGATGAATCACTGAAACATCTAGATGAATGAGTAAGAGCATGAGAGATGAGCAGCTATCTGAAAGATGAAGATGATGACAATCTTCCAGCATAAGGGCATGTCTGTTTCTAGATTGGAGGGTAATATTAGACTCAGCACTGAGGCTAGATTTATCTCCATCATGTGACCACACCCCACATGTAACCTAGTGAATTAGTCATGATCTGGTCACATGATCATGTGAGCTGTTTATAATCTGAGCAGACTCTGACACCTCTTTTTCCTCATCAATCTTAAAATTTCATTACATAGCAGTTAGCAACACAGAGAGTTTCCTTCTTATGCAGCTCGCATTCACTCCCTAACAGATATGATATCTAACTTATTTGAATTATCTCTATAAAATTATATATTATGAATTATTAAAATTTCTATAAATTTTAATAAAGTTAATATTATATATAATTATTGAATATATCACTGAGCTACTTATATTTTTATTATATAAATAACTTTTCATTATTCTTATCTTATCTTTAATAAAATGTTCATAAATTTTACTTTACTTAATTATTAATATATAGTAGCTGCTGCTAAAATTTATTGATTTTATCTACTATTCAAGTTGAATTATGAAAGCAAGCTTTAAAGATATTAATATTATATAAATTTTATATAAACTGCTGAGAAGAAATAAGAGATTATTATAAATCAATAGATATATTAAATTATTGTAATAGCTGATATCAATAACTTGTCTATAGTTTCTCTACAATAAGTATTTATATATAAATATGATAATAATAAATATCTAATGAAATTTAAAACATATATCTGTATTTGAGAAGATCTTCAGTTAACTGCTGACTTCAAAAAAATATTAGCTTACACACTTACTAATAGAATTATTTAAATTTTAATAACTTTTATAATTATCTTTAATCTTAATATTTAAAAGCTAAATAATATAAACACTTTTAT